CTATAACTTTTATTAGGGTAAAAAAAAAACAGGAGGACATGATGATATTTACTATTTTTACACACCAGAGGCTTATAAATGAATTGAGAATCTAAAATATGCGTGTTAGATAATGTACAAATGGTTAACACTGTTTGTGTCATATCAGTCAGAAAAGCAGTTCTGGGCTTTTTTTTGTTGGTGTTTTTTTAGCTAAATATGTACACAGTTTGGATTAAATGAAAGTATAGTGAAATTGTTTAATTAGCATGTTTTTGTGTTTTGCTTTGGTACAGAAAAAGGTACCGAGAACCGTGGATTTTCACTGGTATTGGTACCGAATACAAAAATTTTGGTACCGTGACAACACTAACGAGATGCATATCTGAGGAAAAATGCATTGTTGGTCGGCGCCACCTAGTGTGCAGGCGTGAATTAGCAGAAGGCGAACAATCGTTTCGCACTCGGTGTGAAAGCACCGTTCTTCGGCGATTCGCATCGTGCTCAGTGTGGAAAGGCCTTTAGTTGAACCTGTGCCCATTGTCTTCCTGGTCAGGCCTTCAGAGGGGCTTCCTGGACTCGGGTTATAAGATCCTGGGTGCCGTGGCTAAAGTCCAGGAGGCGTTCCAGCCACAGGAGCCGGACTTCCCTCCTCCACCTCCAGACCTGGAGCACCTGCAGGTCAGATTCACCGCAGACTCCCGCAGCCGCATGCATTTACTTTACCAGCATGGTTTTAATCACCAGTCCCGGTTCTCCTTCAGATAAGCGACAACGCCGCCCCTCCAAAACCTCCGCTGCCAGAGGGTGAAGTGCCTCCTCCCAGACCTCCACCGCCGGAGGAGAAGGACGAGGAGTTCCCCGAACAGCAGGCCGGAGAGATGGTCAGCGAGCCCATGATGGTGGCCGCGAGGCAGCTGCACGACGAGGCCCGCAAGTGGTCCAGCAAGGTGAGTCTGCTCGAGTCTGCCGGATGGGTTTGGGTTGGTTTGTATAGATATTAAACGAGGTTTCTTGCAGGGCAATGACATCATCGGAGCTGCCAAGCGCATGGCTCTGCTGATGGCCGAGATGTCTCGACTGGTCCGGGGCGCCAGCGGGAATAAGAGGGCGCTCATCCAGTGCGCCAAAGACATCGCTAAAGCCTCAGACGAGGTCACGCTCCTCGCCAAGGAGGTCGCCAAACAGTGCACAGACAAACGCATACGAACCAACTTACTGCAGGTGAGAAGAGCAAAGAGTCCATAATGGATGATGTGTTTCAGGGTTTGAGATTTATTTAATTATATTTTTTATGATTTTCTTTTTTTTATATTGTTTTATTTTTATTTGACACTTTTTTTTTTGTTTTATTTTTTAGATGTTTTTATATTTAATTTTTTTTTTTCAGTAATTATCTTTTTATGTCAAACAGGATGCCAGCAGTACTTGATCAACAAAGGTTTTTTTATTTATTTATTTATTTTTTTACCCAGAAAGCTACCAAAAATGCTCAAAAGCAAACCAAACTGAGACCAGATTCCAGTTAAATAAATTCCAGTTCGATTTGGTTGTTTCTTTTAGGACTGCATTATTTGGGGGGGAAAAATTAACTGATTTTTCTGATTAAAAATTGCGATTGCAGTTGCTGTATAAAATGCAATTTTAAAAAAAGAAACTCCCAAGTTTGCTGTGCTTGAATGTAAGGCTGCACAATTTCGCACAAAATGTTGTTATTATATATATGACTATATAATAGTGTTATTTTACACATGTAATGTTAAAATTAATATTAATAATAATATATGTTGTATTGTTGTTGTTATATATAAAAAATATTATATATAAAAATACAAATATTAATCAAAAACAAATATTGTAATATTTAACTGTTAAATAAAAAAATATTTATGAAATATTACAAAAATTGAAGAAAAATATATATTTTTTAATAATATCAATTTCAACAGTACATCTGTAAAATTACAGCAGTAATATTTATGACTTTCTTAATTTTTTCATTTTCGAATGTTAAACCATCTAGCTTTTGGGGGAAAGTGACTCTTGTGAATCTATTCACCAAAAAGATTTGTTGAGTGTTTCTTTTTGTGCTATTTTTACTCCCCTTTCAACAAGATTCACATGCAGTTCGTTCAGAATCAGACGCCTCGTTCAGTCTCTAAACATGGATTCGTTCAACAGGTCCAACCAGTGATAGGCATGCATTCAAATGCAATCTGCTTGTATTCGTTTTGTGCTTTCTAGTGAACAAAAAATTCGATGCATGCATGGAAATGACTGAGAACGCTGATTTAACACTGCTACAATGGTTAAAATGGTCCTAAAATAGATTTGAATCAACTTTTTGGACAAGGGACAATGCAAAGAAAACTGGTTCTTTTTCAACCTTTTGACTGTTTGTTTTTGTAAAATTGACTCAATTGTGAATACACCCATTTTGAGGGATATTTTCATGTGTTTGTGTCTTTCTGCAGGTGTGTGAGAGGATTCCCACCATCAGCACACAGCTGAAGATCCTCTCCACGGTGAAGGCCACCATGTTGGGACGCACCAACATCAGCGAGGAGGAATCGGAGCAGGTCAGATCTCGCCCTCCGCTCCTCTCCGAACCCTGTTTTTAGATGAAACCGGTCTAAATGTGTGCTGGTTATCTCGCAGGCCACCGAGATGCTGGTCCATAACGCTCAGAACCTGATGCAGTCGGTGAAGGAGACGGTGAGAGAAGCCGAGGCTGCCTCCATCAAGATCCGCACTGACGCCGGGTTCACCCTGCGCTGGGTCCGCAAGACGCCCTGGTACCAGTGAGGGAGGAGCCAGCGTGGATATCCCAGCATGCACTGGGGGAAGCATTACAGTCCAGGTCCTATATGTCAAAGCAGACGTGTCGTCCACATCTGCACTAAACTATTCCAAATCAAAACCTTGTTCTTGAATGACCATGAGTTTAAAAGAAGGGACGTTAACTTGCTCGATTGCTTTTTTTCAAATGATTTATTTTGTTTTGATGGATCCCAGGTTAATATTTTTTGAGGGAAAGTTTAATTCTGGTATTTCAGAAAGGTCATAATTTCTTTTTTCATTTCTTTTTTTTACAGAAACAAAACAATCTGTGCATTTTGAAGCTGTTCATTTCTTAAGGTGTCATTTCTATATATGTATGTGTATATAGCACACACCAACAGCCTCGTTTTCACTCTTTGAATGTATTAATAAATGTCACATGCACAAACTAATATTATGTCTTCACAAACAAAAACACAAGCACAGATTTTGGATTATAAAATCCTCTGAATGTGCTTTTTATTGTAAAGTGTTTATTGTGCATATAAATCAAACTTTCATTCAGGGACGACGCTGCAAACTCATATACAAGTACTGAAATGAAGAGGGAATCAAACCTGTGACCTGGTGCTTCCTGTAATCTATGCCAAACCAGTCCGTTTGCATGATATAACCACACTCACACACACACACACACACACACTCAGCATCATGTGTTTGATATCATAACGTCATATATATGCAACACAGTGTATGCATGGTGTTTAGAGCGATGGTTACATGCGTGTGCATGATTATTGTGTTTTGGGGTTCGATCCTGTCGGATGCATGCAACGAACGCGCTACACATGTTATGATGGTAAGATTTCAGACCTTAAAAACACATATGGGTCTGTCAGCCAACCAGAATCATGGATCTATCCATGAGCCCTACTTGCATGCATGTGAAATAACCAATCATCACACATCTGGAGCCGATTTCGGCTTCCGGGTTGCAGGACGTTGCATGTGGGAAGCGAATCGCACGCGCTCGCAGCGTGCAGCAGAATCTCTGTTACTACAGACAGCCAAAGTGTGTGTGATCTGATCATGCCGACAGTCAGGTGAGAACTCACTAATGCATTGGCTATATGTATTCCAGTGGCTGTCTCTGTGCTGGTCTGCTTCCGGTTTGGGATTGTGTGTCTTCATGATGCAACGTGCTTTATTTCCTCATTTGTGACATCTTCAGAAATTCTGTTTTCGTATTCAGCTTATATATATATATATATATAGGGTTGTTTATAAATAAAATTCGTATTCTGTGTTACAAAAGGTAAACGGCTACTATTTTTTTTGTTGTAATTAGGATCCAAAAGATATGGCTATTATAATGACAATAAACACATAATTTAATGATAGTAATTAAATTATATATATATATATATATATATATATGTGTGTATGCATGGCTTTATGTGAATGAACACTTATTGTACACAATAATTAAATACATTAATTTTTGAAAGCAGAAAATGTGCACTATTTATTAACAGGGCAGTTGGTAGATTTTAAAAATGACAACTGGAAGGACAACTTCTGTTACTCCTCCAAGCAGTTATTCTGGTATTTGGTGACTCATGTGTTTGTCTTTATCAGATTGATTTAGACATGCATGTACACACACGCCACAGTAATGCACCTATTATATGCGTTGTAAACTGTAATTTATTTCCGTGATCAAAGCTGTATTTTCAGCATCATTACTCCAGTCTTCAGTGTCACATGATCTTTCAGAAATCATTCTAATATGTAACTTGTGTATCATAAATATTTAATATAATTGCTTAGCATTAGTAATATAATATTATAAAGTCTAGAGACAAATGGCACAAAAAACATGTTAACAAAATAAATTCAGGAAATATTTGGTGTAATGGTGATGAAATAAGTTTGAAAGTTAGAAACTAGATAGTTATTTTCTTTCTCTTGTTCATACATTAACAATTCCTCACATTTAACTGCATAATATATATCTATGACAAAATATAAAACTATAAGGCAGAATTGAGCACTTTGCCACGGGAATGTTGTTTTAGCATCTCTGGCCTGCAGGTGGCAGCAGCTCTCATAATTCTGCATTTCATGTGATGTACAGTGACTGCAGGTGTTTCATCTGATCAGGATCTCATATATTCTGATGTTTGTGTGTGTGTGTTCTCACTGCAGGTTTGATGAGATTGTGAAGAAGAGTAAAGTCGAATATCATGCCGGTGGATCCTCACAGAACTCTGTCAAAATTGCTCAGGTACGTCTGGAACCCACACACTCGTTATTCGGCACCATACGTGACCCTGGAGCACAAAACCAGTCATAAGGGTCAGTTTTTCAAAATTAAGATCTGAAAGCTGAATAAATAAGCTTTCCATTGATGTATGATTTGTTAGGATAGGACAATATTTGGTCGAGATACATCTATTTGAAAATCTGGAATCTGAGGGTGCAAAAAAATCAAAATATTGAGAAAATCATCTTTAAAGTTGTTCAAATGAAGTTCTTAGCAATGCATATTACTAATCAAAAATTAAGTTTTGATATATTTACAGTAGGAAATGTACAAAATATCTTCATGGAACATGATCTTTACTTAATATCCTAATGATTTTTGACCCATACAATGTATTTTTGGCTATTGCTACAAATATACCCCAGCGACTTAAGACTGCTTTTGTGCTCCAGGTCACATATACAAAATGTCTATTAGGGAATTATGGTAAGGCTGTTTTAGATCATTAATTTAAACCAGCATAATAATGTATGTTTGACATCTTCTGTCCCTCAGTGGATGATCCAGGAGCCGCATAAGGTGGCCACGTTCTTCGGCTGTATAGGTACGGATCACTTCGGTGAGATTCTGAAGCAGAAAGCGGCTGAAGCTCATGTTAACGCTCATTATTATGAACAGAGTCAAGAACCGACAGGAACCTGTGCAGCCTGCATTACTGGAGACAACAGGTCAGATATAAAACAGCCTCTTCTGCTCATTGAGGCTGCTTTTATCAAAAATACTGTAAAAATGTGAAATATTATTATAATTTAAAATATCTGTTTTCTGTGTGAATACATATTAAAATGTAATTTATTCCTGCGATGTAAAGCTACATTTTCAGCATCATTACTCCAGTCTTCAGTGTCACATGATCTTCAGAAATCATTCTAATATGCTGATTTGCTGCTCAAGAAACATTTCTGATTATTATCATGGTTGAAACAGTTGTGCTGCACAATATTTTTGTGGAAGCTGTGATACATTTTATTTTTCAGGATGAATAGAAAGTTCAAAACAGCATTTATTTGAAATAGAAATCTTTTGTAGCATTATAAATGTCTTTACTGTCACTTTTGATTATTTTAATGCATCCTTGCGGAATAAAATTTATTTATTAAAAATAAAAAAGGAATAAATCTTACCTCAATTTTGAACGGCAGAGTATAGGATTAAAGTTCATACTAAACATGAAATAAGACATCAAACCATTATAATGTACCTAAAACATTGTTTTATCCAGGGATTCACTAATATAGTCATTGCATTTTATAGCAGATAATTACAAATATGTCTAATTTAGTAAAATGATTTTGCTGAAATGAAGCATTGTAACAATGTAACTATGGTAACTGCTTAATACTCCTTTAATATTTCCTTAACTAAGGTGGACTGGTCCAATTAAAAAACAAAAAATTAATTAATTAATTATGGCTGATTCCAATAACATCTCCAATATAGTTGCATCCTTATTGATTGCATGTAGGAAGTGTAAAATGTCTATGATTTATCTGTGCACTAATGCAGTTTTCCTAAAGCGTTCAAACTTTGATTTATACTGTTTATGACAATCCAGTCTGTTCTGATTGAAAACGTGATTTTTCAGGCCCTCACTCACATGGACTGAGCCTCATCAGGAGCAATGTTTGACTATTATCGTGTGTTTGCAGGTCTCTGGTTGCAAACCTGGCAGCAGCAAACTGCTATAATAAAGAGAAACATCTGGATGTTGATAGGAACTGGAGTCTGGTGGAGAAAGCGAGAGTTTACTACATTGCAGTAAGTGCTTCACATTGGGCACCACGTGTGTTTGAATGCTCATATGGGAGAATAGAGAGATTTATCAGCAGCTGTAACTTATGCAGGAAACTACTGATGTCACTCTCTGCCCTGCAGGGCTTTTTCCTGACCGTGTCTCCAGAGTCCATCTTCAAAGTGGCCAAACACGCATCTGACAACAACAAGATCTTCGGGCTGAACATCTCAGCTCCCTTCATCAGCCAGTTCTTCAAAGAGCCGCTGATGAAGGTCATGCCGTACGTTGACATCATCTTCGGGAACGAGACGGTGAGTCTTCAGATCAGGGTGGATGGAATGGATCAGCATAGTGTCTACAGATAAAAGCTCTCATAAAGTCTTAAATGTCATGTGTGGGGGTCATTTTATTTCATATCACAATATATTAGGTTGGAGAAACCAGAGATTTCTGATCATATCAGTTGGTGTGATTAGATTAGAAAGAATATGTAGGTCTTTATTTGCTATTTACCAGAAACAAACAGGATTTACAGCCAATCAGAGTAGAGTGTTATTGGATTGCTTTCCCTTTGCATGTATCTTCTCATCGGTGGTGATGATTGCATGCTAACCGATGATGTTTGTTTTATAGGAAGCTGCTACATTTGCAAAGGAACAGGGCTTTGAGGTGAGTGAAAAATACTGTAATGCCTTTTTTCTTCTTGCACACTGAACACAAAAGAAGAAATGATCATTTTTGGATGGATTGCTCCTATAACACGCTCTCAGTACCATCTCAACATCTCGCTCTGGTGCTCGTGTTCCTGCAGACAGAAGACATCGCTGAGATCGCGAGGAGGGTTCAGTCTCTGCCCAAAGTCAATAAGAACAGGCAGAGGATCGTGGTCTTCACTCAGGGCAGAGAAGACACTGTGGCCACTGTGGGTACGTCCATCAAACAACATCTGGACGGGTTCAGATGATTTGAGTTGTCTTTAAGTTGTGTTTTCTTAACATTTGTCTGTTTGTCTTCTTTCAGGCGATAAAGTGAAAATGTTTCCTGTTTTAGACATCGACCAGAACGACATTGTCGATACTAACGGTGCTGGTGATGCTTTTGTGGGAGGTAAATGATTGGTCGGATCATTTTAGGCAATTTTTCTAGAATCGATGAAGCTTTGAGTTATTAATTCAGTATTTATTAACTGTGCACTCTTTAATATCATGCTAACAGTACACTGTATTTGCTTTTTCAGTTGCAAATAGATTATTGGAGTACGTTTTACAAGTAATTACTATTTCAGTCAGTATGTTTCATTCAATGCATTACTCGCCATTTCTTTGTAAGTATTTTGCAATTTCTGAGTGAAAAATGGTTTGGTTCACATTTTCATTTCAGTGTATATCAAATATTTAGAGTATGCATATGCATTTATAAGCAGTACTTTAAGTAGAGGAAGACTAATATAAACTTTTTGAGTACCTTCAGGGCATGCTGCTGATGACACGTACAGAGTTTTGTAACAACGCGCCAATGTGATTCGTAAAATATAGCATTTTACAACCGAAATTAAAAATGGCCAATATGGGAAAATTGGGTATTGTTCAACTCTGAATCTAAAGAGACCAGTCTTTAGATTTTTTTGGCCAAACGGTTCAGACGTTATAAGCAAAAAGAGCCATTTTTCATATCTCCAGATCACTAGGTGGCACTGTGCTGAAACTCTGCAGGTACCCTCAGGTCATGGTTATTATAACACACACCAAGTTTAGTCTGAATATGCTAAAGCATTGCAGAGATATAGCCTCAAGTCCACTTTAACAAGCTCTTCAAATTAATTTGCGCGTTATTCGAGAGCGGTTTAACTAATCAACTTGAATTTCATCATTTTTTGGCGCTATGGTCTGAAGATGATCTGGTTCGATTTTCGCAAAAATTGTAAGGTCTTGGAGAAAAATGATGTCATTCGTTTCTAGCCTTTGCGGTTCAAAAGTTATTAGCATCAATGTAAGTACAACTTTGAACAGTTGGTGGCGCTAGAGGCTTTGAGTTAGAGACTCCGAATTTGCTGTGGTTAATGTTCAGACTGTCCTCTATCCGTGTGCCAAATTTCACAACTTTTTATCATACCGTTCTGTGGGCTGCCATAGACTCAAACAGAAGAATTAGGATTAGGATGCTGCCTATGTAGGGAGAACAGTAGATATCAAGACGGCTCACTAGGTTTTGGAACAGAACCTATACATGAGCTGTATATATTTGTCTATGTGTCCTGCAGGATTCCTGTCAGAGTTGGTTCAGGAGAAGCCATTGCAGGAGTGTATCCGTGCAGGTCACTATGCCGCTAATGTCATCATCCGGCGAGTCGGCTGCACTTTCCCTGAGAAACCTGATTTCCATTAACTCCCTCACATATTTCCCAATGCGGAATCTTTCCATCTCATTTGTTTTTGTTCTGAAATTCCAGAAACACAACCTGCGTGCCTCTGCATTCGTTTACACGCGTTTCTTGTTAAAACGGGCATTTATCAGGATTGCGACGACCACAATATACACTTCGATGATTTAGTGTTAAAGTAGTTTGTCTTCCATCTGTTTTTATGCTACATTGCAAGAACATTTCTATATTTAATCTATTATATCCTTTTAAGTAAGTGCATTTATATGTCTCAAAAATAATACAAGTAAAATTAAAGTAACAGGATTATATAATAGGATTGTTGCCTAGCAAGTCGATGTCTTTCAGGTCAATATTGTTACTTTGAAATACCAAATTGTATCTTAAGCGCACAATCTTTAAATATGCATAAGTTGTATCTGATGTGGGAATTTTTTTTCCTCTTTCCACTTCTGGAACAGGACCGTTCAACTGACCACTTTAATAAAAAGATTTTAATTGTTCCAAAGTTGTACATCTCTTTTTTTAATTGTTTTTTTATTGTGTGTCAGTGCTATTTTAGTACCAACATAATTTTTAAGTTATTTTATTTTATTTTCCATTTTCATTTTAGTTAAAATTTTAGTCATTTTGATGTGTTTTTGTCGTTATTTATTTATTTTTAAATATATCTACAGTGTATAGTTTAAAAAAAATTGTATTTAGTTATTTTAGTACATTAAGTTAAACTAAATAAAAAAATTTGAAATGTTGCTTTGGCAACTAACTGTAACAAAATAAGTAACATTAAGTAATGGTTTTTTCTTTTTATTTCAAGTAATATTTTTTTCCCCTGGTTTTAGTTAACTGTAGTAATCCTTGTGCGTGCGTGTGTGTGCGTGTGTATCCTCATAATTTGATAGGAAGAAGCTCTAATACCTGGAAAAAGCTTTCTCTTAGCATTCCCTCTTACACATTTCATTTGCATAAAATCAAACTAAACTAAAATGTACTTAAAACTTTAACACTCTTCACTGGCTGCTCAACCAGTGCCATTGTGTACATCACAAAATGCAAACAGAAATAGTCTCATCTAATATTTGTAAATGTTTTCAGTTGGCATGTTTAAGTATCTGTGCTCTCGTCCGCTCGTGTGTTTTGAGCTCTTCTCTGCTCCAGCAGGTGTGTGTCCAGCTCTCTCAGCTGCTTCAGGAAGCCCCAGTTCGGGATGATGCGGCGCCGGCGTTTGACGTGGTCGATTGCGTCTACAACCGTCATGTTCTCGTAGATCATCAAGAAGGCCAGGAAGAGTGTGGCGGAGCGACTGCGGCCCATCACGCAGTGAATTAGAAGCTTATCTGGAGAAATAAACACCAAGATGACACAAGCTCACCCATGCAGTGCCAGTAACTAGAAGTCAAGAGTTTCGGACACATCTCCTTGTTTTTTGAGTATGTGCCACATGTTAAAAGAAGCGATGAAAACTCTCAGAATAACACCGATGTAGGACTGGGAATGATGTTGTGACTGGAAGAAAGTGGCACAAATGAAAACTTCTTTATTGTCAAGATTCCAGCTCTGCTCAGTCTTGGACTTTCATCAACCGATTTCATCCAACCAAATTAAACACTACTGAAGGAGGAACAAGTGTAAGGAGCACTTCATGTTTCTCCTTCAATATATATTCCATCTCATTCATTTAAATGATTTTGCATTTAAAATTGTAGCTTTGTAAAGAAATTCATTCAAGCAGAAGACTTTAGATCAGTGGTTCTCAACCTTTTTGACTCCAAGGTCCTCCATTGTCCACAACAAAAAATTTATTTTCCCCCCAAATTAACTCTTTATGCCAAACTAAATATCTAATATATGTATAAATATTAGTAAAAGTAAATGTAAAACGGATCCCATTCTTTTAAACCACTGAATTTGCATGACTTTCCCAGTCCGTGATTTACTGGATAAGGGTTTTAAAAAATATTTTTACTCACAATTTCTACTTGCATATTCAGTCAACTATGCATATTCTTTTCCAGGGTCTAGAAATCACACTTTTAAAATGAGGCTTTCTCAAATATCCAGGTTTTCCAAGACTTTTCCAAGAATCCTTATCCTTTAAAAAAAATAAAAAATCAGTGGGGTGAATTAAAATAAGAAATATCTTGATTCTTTGGTTGTTTTAGCTTATTTGAAGACTTGTTTAAATCTTTTTAATGCCCCTTGGAAGTTTGCTGAGGGCCCCTGGTTGAGAACCACTGCTTTAGTGAATAATGTTGTGTTTCAGCTCACTCTGGGGGTTTCTGAGGGTCTGGTGGATGTGTTCTGCAGCAGAATAGAAGTACTGGCTGAGGTTGAATGTGGGAACGTCCTCCGCCGTGATCCCGAGGTAATGCACGTCCATGTCTCTGTAGTATTCAGCGCCGGTATCCACACTGTTCCACTCGCCCTCCGCAGTGTTCAGGATGTGCGTGACGCCCATCGTCTTCAGCTTGTATCGGTCCTTTGCTATCTCTCTTCACAGAAACAAAACAGCTTAGACTAGTCCATGTTCAGCCCAAGTCCCCTGTTCTAAGAACGATGACTATAAAAATCGTTCTAACTCTATTCCACATTTTTGCATCAGTTTAGAACTGACTGATGTATTTTGGCCAGAAACTACGCCAGTTTAAAGTTAAAGCATCTTGATGGATTTGTTTCTTACAAACACGCAGCTTTTGTCTTCTCCAGATGTTCACTGATGGACTGGAGTGCTGTGGATTATTGTGATGTTTTTATCAGCTGTTTGGACTCTCATTCTGACGGCACCCATTCACTGCAGAGCATCCATTGCTGAGACACTGATGCAGTGCTACATTTCTCCAAATCTCATCTACTTATTGGATGGCCTGAAAGTGAGTGCATTTTCAGCACTTTTGCATTTTTGATTAAACTATTCCTTTAAGAAATTGTAAATAAATCATAGAATTGCAGTTTACAGTATGATGTAGGACAAACAAACAGCTCTGACTTTTGAGATAGTTTCAGGAAAATAATCAGTTGACTTACTGTATAGCTGCAGGGCAAATGTTATTGACTGGATTTAGTATGCATCCTTTTCATGTATCCTGCATTATTAGCATCCAAACTGATATTAAGGTTAGTCAAACAAAACAACTCACTCATTTCCTATGTAGACGTTGGGCCAGACCTCATTGACGTGTGTGTAAGTGACGCTGCCATGCGTGAGGTGTTTCTCCAGCTCGTAGCCATTTGGTGTCACATATTCCTCTTTCTCTTCAGAAACCTCAGACTTCACTCCAAATTTCCTTCTTGAGGTCATCTTCAATCACGCATTCGATTAAAATTCGAGAGTAAAAATGAGACCCAAAATCAGAAGCTCAGATGAAAACCAGGTCGAACACAGAACTACGACTTATGTTACGTGTAAATCAATAGCTGGATGTTGTTTGATCATCCTGAGGAGTCCCAGTGTCGCTTCTGACTTCAATATCTGTCTCTTTCTCTGTATTTATGTGTTCAGGTTGGGTTGAGAGGTGCTGAGCTGAGTCGACTGCTTTGGTCTGACGATGGGCCCGGAGGTGGGTGTTAAATCCTGGGTTATTTTTAGAGATCCGTTCCCTCTTTCTCTCACTAGAGAGAGCTGAACCCCCAAAACACACATTCACACATTTCCCTGCAAATTTCTACACATACAAAACTGAACACCACAGTACACAAGTGAACCCAAATAAATGCTGAGAACTGTGATCAAGCATCATGATTTAGGATTATTGTCCTTAAGGTTTGAGCCAGAGCTGTTTGTTTGTTCTACATCATATTGTAAATGGCAATTCTATGATTTGTTTACAATTTCTTACAGGAATAGTTTGCAGAAAAATGAAAATTAGCAGAAAATGTACTCACCCTCGGGCCATCCAAGATGTAGATGAGTTTGTTTCTTCATCAGATTTGGAGAAATGTAGCATCAGTATCTCAGCAGTGGATCCTCTGCAGTGAATGGGTGCCGTCAGAATGAGAGTCCAAACAGCTGATAAAAACATCTTTAGTGGGGCAAGAAAAAATCTTCTTGTTTTCCCTTTGAATAAAGATGATTTTTCTTACTCCCCTGACAGTTATTTTCTTCTTGAGCAAAAGAAAAAATACTATTTTCTTGATTTCTTGATTTAAGAATGTTTACTGGAAAACAACACAAATATACTGAATAAGAAAATAATTTTTTGTCAGAGAGGAAACTAAGTTTTCTGTCTTTCTACTTTGTTTTTTGAAGTATTTGACACTTCAATTCTCATAAAATCAGGAAGAAATAAATTCTTTTTATTTCTTTTTAAAATGTCTTTTTTTATTCTTTTTATAGCAGCAAAAACTGTTTCCAACGTTGATAATAAATCAGCATATTAGAATGATTTCTGAAGATCATGTGACACTGAAGACTGGAGTAATGATACTGAAAATACAGCTGCGCATCACAGAAATAAATTAGATTTTAAAGTATATTAAAATTAAAAAAAATTCTTTTGCATTTTACACAATATTACTGTTTTTTTCTGCATTTTTGATTAAAAAAAATGTAGCCTTGATGAGTATAAGGGACTTAAAAAAAAACATTACAAATCTTACTGATCCCAAACTTTTGAACAGCAGTGTATATATATGTTGAATTAAATCAAGAGCTTATTAAAAAAATAAAAAGCAGCTGTGCAGCAAAGCAAATTAACTCACTTGCGTACAGAACTTCAGAAATAAAATGTACAGTAAAATATCAAGTCAACATGAAATCATAATGGACTTCATTTACTTTAATACATTATAATAGAATTAATCAGTGCATGTTATTCTCATTTTCATTTCATTGTTTATATTTAAAAACAATTTTAAAACAACCCAAGGTTGACCAAAGTGCTGTACAGAGACAATATGATCGATAAATAAAACAGACTTTGCACATATTCTGAAGGGGAGGGTGTTTGTTTTCATAATGTTTGTCTAAACTATAAATATATATATAATTAAATATATTTAGTCATTTAATCAATATTAAAATATTTAGTCATTGTATTAGGCTGTAAATTCTCACTTCAAATAATTGATAAAGCAACACGATGTCATTTTTTAAATATTTATTTTAAGCTTTTAAAATGCGTGACCTACTTTAATGTACAGTATCTGTCACACTGTGTGAATCTGTGGTGTTTTGGTCCTGTTGTATGTAGTGTGTGATGGTCCAGAGTCTGCTGTACATTTACTGGAGGTAGTGTGTTGTGTTTGTGAGGTGATTATACATGTGTGAGTGAAGAAATGATTACTGGACTGCCCCTTGGCACAAGTTTAGTCAAACTGCATGATATATCTGTTTGTCTGTTTTGTCTTTTTAATCACAGATTTATAGCAAACCCTTTTCACTTTTCACTGACTATCTCTCTGTATCATGCTGTATTTACTCTCATACTGAAAGTGCATAGACATGTTTGCATATGAAGTGCATGTTCAAGCCTTTCACTGCAGACAGAATTCACAGTATTTACCCAAAATCCACTGAAATATTAACTGAATAGACATGTCAGATATCTCTGCATCTTCAGTGGATCCTGGAAGCCTCTTCATCGACTCTTAGCAGTCTATTATCCTAACCATCCCTAATAAGTGACTGATTTAACACTCTACATAGGGCACAACTCTATGTGATAATAGAGGAGACTGAGATATGCTTAACACACAAATATTGGTAGCAATAATCTGCATTTTTAGCTAGATATATGTAAATATAAAACAATCTAGTTAAAATGGACTATATCAACCAGTATTTGTGTATAAGCATACATATTACATTTTTTATTTAAATGAATAGTTCACCCAAAAATGAAAATGTGCTGAAAATGTGCTCATCCTCAGGCCATCCAAGATTAGGATGAGTTTGTTTCTTCATCAGGTTTGGAGAAATGTAGCACTGCATCAGTGTCTCAGCAATGGATGCTCTGCAGTGAATGGGTGCCGTCAGAATGAGAGTCCAAACAGCTGATAAAAACATCACAAGTAATCCACACCACTCCAGTCCATCAGTTAACATCTGGAGAAGACAAAAGCTGAAACAAATCTATCATTAAGACGTTTTTAACTAAATTATGAGTCCATAATATCCATAATAACGCTTCCTCCAGTGAAAAAGCCATTTCATCTGTTTACAAGCCAAACAGCTCTAAACAAATACGTCAGTGGATTTTGATGTGAGAGACAACAGGAGATGGACTTTTTCACTGGAGGAAGCGTTATTATGGACTCGTATTTTAGTTAAAAACGTCTTAATGCTGGATTTGTTTCAGCTTTTGTCTTCTCCAGATGTTAACTGATGGACTGGAGTGCTGTGGATTATTGTGATGTTTTTATCAGCTGTTTGGACTCTCATTCTGACGGCACCCATTCACTGCAGAGCATCCATTGCTGAGACACTGATGCAATGCTACATTTCTCCAAATCTGATGAAGAAACAAACTCACCTACATCTCGGATGACCCGAGGGTGAGAACATATTCAGCAAATTTTCATTTTTGGGTAAACTATTCCTTTAGGAGAAAAAATAACTTTTCCTTTTGCATAAGCTCCTCCCACAATCAAATCTCATTGGTCCAAATTCCAGCTCCACATTACTGTAAGCATCACATATTGATTGCATTTATGTTTTCGCGTTCAGTGTGGAGAATCAAAGCACTTGTCACATGCGGCCTGGTTAGGACGCGGTGTCGTGATCGTTCATCACGTGGTCAGTCCTGTAGTTGTTTGCTCACAGCAGGACACATCGTCTGTGCTTCTTCTTCCTCTGCAGGTCCAGGTCCAGCAGCAGAGCCAGGAAGTTTCTGTTGGGATAGATGGCTCGTTTCTGGATGATGCGCCGTATGGCCGCGTGCAGAGGCATGTCGTGATAGAGCATCAGGTACGCCAGCACCAGCGACGAGGAGCGGCTCATTCCCATGATGCAGTGCACCAGAACTTTTCCTAAGGTGGAAGGCAAAGATCTGGTTACAAACGGACTTTATGGTTTTAATAGAAGACGTGACAGCAGCCTCTCATTCTTGCCAGTTCCTCGCTGGTAAAAATAAAACCCACAATTCATTGCAATGATTCATTTGATGGCCTTGAGCTCACTGCTAATAATACAGCTGTTTCTACAGACACTGCAGACGAGACGCACCTCGAGTCCAGCAACACAACCTTCAGTGAGTAAAACACTTCAGCCTCATGCTGTAATGCTTTTTTTGAAAGAAGGCTGCGTTTAATTGAGAGTAAAAATTGTGAAATATTATTACAATTGAAAACAGCTGTTTTCTATGTGAATATCTGTTAAAGTATAATTTATTTCTGCGATCAACGTTGAATTTTCAGCATCATTACTCCAGTCTTCAGTGTCACATGATCCTTCAGAAATCATTCTAATATTCTGATTTGCTGCTCAAGAAACATTTCTGATTATTATCAGTGTTGAAAACAATTGTGCTGCACAATATTTTTGTGCAAACTGATACATTTTATTTTTCAGGATGAATAGAAAGTTCAAAAGAACAGCATTTATTTGAAATAGAAATCTTTTGTAACATTATAAATGTCTTTACTGTCACTTTCGATCAATTTAATGCATCCTTGTTGTATAAAAGTATAAATGTCTTTAAAGAAAAAAAAATTCTGACCTCCAAACTTTTGAATAGTAGTGTGTAAAGTGCAAATTTATCTTGAATTAACATGTCTTGATAGTTTCACTAGAAAACAACACAAAACTACTTTTTGCAACAAATAAAAAAGCATTTGCAACACATTTTATTTCAGTAATGTATTGCGAGTGAAACATTCAACGCTGACAAAATGTAGGACAAGACTTGATTTTCTCCTTAAACTTTTCTTATCAGAATTTTTGACCTGAATGTAGAGGCTGAAGTTTAAGTTCATCCTCCAGAGAATCTCCACGGATTCCAAAAAACAAAATAAATACAAAAAAAAATTATTTTTGTATAATTTTTTGATACTGTATGATTGCCGAATTTAGAGTGCTTAAATTGCTATTTGGCTATTGGTTAACACATATAACCTACACCACGTCTCCTGAAAATAAAAGTCTTTACAGAGGCAGAGCAATTACATTTTTATGGAAGATTATGTAGACTTTTTATTTTTAATATCGTGCACTGATTAATCATACACAGTAAGTCCAGGAGCATGCTCAGAAAGTCATTAGGGTCAAGACTGTAGTGCACAAGCGGTTTTACTTCTACTAGTGAATTCTTCAGTGATTTAAAGTGATTTCTTCTTACCATCAGGAGTGTTGAGAGCTTTATGAATGAATTCTGCTGCCGGTTTGAAGTAAACGTCCAAATCGAAGTGTGTGGAGTCGTCAGCGGGGATCCCGCAGTACACAAAACTAGTGCCGTAGTAGTTCTGGTCCCCGATGCTTCCTCTCTTGGTGTGAGCGGCGTTCAGAATGTGAGTGATGCCGAGTTTCTGCAGGGCGCTTCGGTTCTGCGCTATTCCTCTGACGGGAAAATGATAAATACATCATCAGAA